TCCGTGTACAGCACAAAATACAGATCTATGTCAATATATCTGATGCACCAGTTGAGCTGGTGTCACAGTATTTGAAATCCATTAAAAAGAATTAAACCCATGACAAGACACACACCATGGGAATCATCAGAAGGATGGTATGAAAAGCTTATCACAATATCGACATTGGTGATTGACATCTATGATATTTATATCCTGTCTCAAACAATAGGTCAGATTTCAACATGAAAGGTTTGCTCTAAACTCCATCCACGTGTCCTGTATTTTAAAACATGTCATGGGATATCTGAGAAATAAAAGATACAGCCCAATCCACTTCAAAATATACTGTAGCTTGGATGATTTCATATGCTGACACTTGTTGACAGTCTTGATGCTTTATTATTCACACCCCTGCTCTGCTCCTCCTTCTCCATAGTCTATCAGACGTTTACTTGCTTAGAGATGTAGTGCTCAGGAGTAAATGGAGTTAAAAGATACAGCAGTCTTGTCCAAAGGAAAGATAACTTCCATGCTTGACCAGGCCACAAAGCATCATGGAAAACAGTTGCATGAGTTCCTTGAAGGCACTAAGTTCATTGACTGTTCGACTAATACATTAGAGTTGTGCTTTAGCTTACAGTGTGTTTTCAGTGGGCAGGTATTTTGAGTTTTTATGGCGGCCAGGTCTAAAATTTCGATATGGTGGATGGGTCTGAAAACCTCTAGGTGCAATATTGGGTTCTTCCAAAGTCATAAGCCCTCGTAGTCCTCTCAAACTAGTCCTAATGGCCTGATCTTCACCTAAATGTTTGAATGGACTTTTACATTGAAAGGAGTCATTTGATCACATATGGCCATCCTAAGGCACAACCACTGTGCTGTAAAACTAATCAGAACCCAAAGGCTGCCAATGACGACAAAGATTAACCCATCTTCCCCAAATGTGTACTTACCTCTATTCCGTTGCCTAGGCTTATGCTAATGTTGAGAGTCTCCATCAAACGTTTTCTTTGCATAGACCATGCCTGTGCAGGAAATTCCTATAGACTTATATGGAGCAATCTCCCAAGCGTTCCCAGCCTCCATTCAGTTTGAATGAACAGGCGCAGATGGAATGGAGAAGATTTCGGCTGGAGGCTCTCAAGCAGGTAAGTATAGGGAAGATGGATTAATTTAGCTGGGGGGGAGGGAGCAAAATTTAAAGAATTGCTCATTACTTTGTTTCTAACCTAGTAGTACTACACAATGGTTGTGTCTTAGGGTGATCATCCAATGTGATGCCTGGATATACATCTGGGGAGGATGGGTAACTGGTCAAGAAGAGATCAGAGGCATAAATGAGTACACATAACTGGTAAAACAATAATACACTGTAATATTTTGGGGGTCTAGCCAGCCTTGTTTTTGTAAAAAACAAGCAGTTTTTATTTCTCAAAAACAAAACAAAAAAAAACAGTTTATCTTCATCACACTCCATAAACTCTGGTACAAAACAAAGCTTCAGCTCATCACCAGCATAAACTTGTTCCACAACAGGGTTTAAAGCCCCTGCCTGTTCCAGGGTTCCAGAAAAGGTCACAATAGCCCAGCAGCATCTTAGCAATCAAACAGCCCACAGCTCTCTCTAACAACTATCCTGTTCCATACAACACTTCATGGACACCTGCTGGCTGCTTTCAAACCTGTCCCCCAAGTGGGTTAACCTGTTCAAATCCAAGGTACCTGTAGCAGGGTTGGAGTCTCTTTCCCACTCAAGATCTTTCCAAGCCTCTGGAATCGGGGAACCATATCAGGATTTAATAATCCTGGGAAAACTGCTAATGAGATTTCCCTCTTTAATGGACCAAACTAGAACCCCTCACCCTGCACAGTGAGAATCCCTGAGTGCTCAAAACTGCTTCTTTCACTGTTCCCCTTAAAGAGACCACGACACAAACAATGGTGACACATATCTACCATCCATGACCTAACCCTGGCATCCTGTACAATATAGATCGTTCACATTAAGCTGATCACTGTTAAGTGTATAATATATGTGTATCTGTATGTATGTGTATGTATCAATTATTAAATTCTGTTTTTTGTCTCGAGTTTTCCTTTCTGTTTGTATATCCCTGTTAGGTGGGAAAAGATGAGAAAAGGCTAAAAGATGTCATAACAAGCAATCAATCCATAAGGCAAATGCACAGTATTCAGCCAGCTCCTTAACTGTCCAGAGACAGCATTTAATGGTAATTGCTTACATGCCCTTTCGGTGTTTCTCCTGCAATTCTATCCAGTGAATCCACCAAGCACGATTCAGGGCTTGACCTCTTGTTCTACTATTGACTTGTGCTGCATTGAGGGGAACAATGATGCTAATCGTCAGGGGCCAATCAGTTTGGTTACTTTCTACTCTTTATGAAAAAATAAAAATAAGGCCCAAACACTGGTCTACAAACAGCTCTTGTGCTCTCCTTTCATCTTATACATAGTGTATGTCTATTCACTGCCAGCAGCCAAGTAGAAAAGAACAAACGGTTACCAGGCAACCAGCATTGATTGAACATAGAAAAACAACGTGAATGATTTCTATATTGCATACACACACATACCACTATGGAAAGGGGGAAGGTGGGGGAGGGTGCTCATCCTTTTCTCTTCTTATTAATTTTCCATATTACCCACTTTCCACTATGTGAGACAATTTGTACAGAAGTTCTCCAGACATTTACCCCCTTGGGGTGAGAATGAGCCTGTATGCTGCATATTACATAAATAATAGTATCCTGCCTGTTTATGTATGTATCATTCATGCAATGTAATAGTTGTGCTGCCAGCCATGTCCCACATCAACAGAGCTGAATGTAGGAGATTGAAACAGTTAGAAAAGGAAATGGAGCTTGTAGTGTCCTCACTTGGCTCTTGGTTGCTTTGGGGATAATATGTAGGAAAGATAAATATAGTGAATGTGGAGCAAGATATTCCCCACCATGTTTTCCTTTTATTTCCCAGATGTCAGTAAGTAGTAGGATGTGGCATCATGACAGTAGCAAGACTGTCCCTCTGCCCTCCATCAATGTGTAGTAGGACTGCCCCCTCCGCCCTCCATCAATGTGTAATAGCACAGCCCCCTCTACCCTCCATTAATGTAAAGTAGAACTGTCTCAACTACCCTCCATCAATGTGTAGTAGGATAGTCCCTTCCACCCTCCATCAATGTGTAGTAGGACTGCCCCCCCTAACCTTCATCAATGTGTAGTAGGATTGCCCCCTCTACCCTCCATCAATGTGTAGTAGGACAGTCCCCTCTGCCCTTCATCAATTTGTAGTAGGACTGCCCCCTCTACCCTCCATCAATGTGTAGTAGGACAGCCCCTCTGCCCTTCATCAATATGTAGTAGGACTGCCCCCTCTACCCTCCATCAATATGTAGTAGGACTGCCCCCTCTACCCTTCATCAATGTGTAGTAGGACTGCCCCCTCTACCCTCCATCAATATGTAGTAGGACTGCCCCCTCTACCCTTCATCAATGTGTAGTAGGACTGTCCTGTCTACCCTCCATCAATGTGTAGTAGGACTGCCCCCCATCTACCCTCCATCAATGTGTAGTAGGACTGTTCTGTCTACCCTCCATCAATGTGTAGTAGGACTGTCCCCTCCGCCCTCCATCAATGCATAGAAAGACTGCCCCCTCTATCCTCCATTAATGTGTAGTAGGACCATCCCCTCTGCCCTTCATCAATGCATAGTAGGACCGCCCCCTTTACCCTCCATCAATTTTTAGTAGGACCATCCCCTCTTCTCTCCATCAATGTGTAGTAGGACTGTCCCCTCTGCCCTCCACCAGTGCGTAGTAGGACTGTCCCCTCTGCCCTCCACCAGTGTGTAGTAGGACTGTCCCCTCTGCCCTCCACCAGTGTGTAGTAGGACTGTCCCCTCTGCCCTCCACCAGTGTGTAGTAGGACTGTCCCCTCTGCCCTCCACCAGTGTGTAGTAGGACTGTCCTTTCTACCCTCCATCAATGTGCAGTAGGACTATCCTCTCTGCCCTCTATCATGTGTATTAGGATTGTCCTCTCTACCGTCTATTGGTGTGTAGTAGGACTGTCCCTTCTACCCTCCATCAGTCTGTGAAAGGACACTCCCCTCTACCCTCTATTGGTGTGCAGTAGGACTATCGCCTCTATCTATCAGTGTATAGTAAGGCTGTCCCCTTAGCACTATGTTAGGCATCATTTACACTTGTGTGGCCCTCTAAAAAGTGACCTGTATTGGACCACTCTCTAAGAGGGCACTTAACTGGCAATGTGGAGGCACCACCTTAGCACCTGTTTTAACTTTTCAAACTCCACAACAGCAGGCTGCATCTGCATGAGTTGCACATGGTTGCAGGGCACCCCCATTCTTTTGAATGGGTTGTGTTCGTCGGTGGTATTGCCCGCTGAATGCAATAAAGGGGATATATTTTGCCATGCCATGATGCAAAGCATCACAGTCGTGGCATAGGTACAACCCCCTCTGCTGCCCTTGCAGCATAAGGGGGAGCAGTTGGGGGGTGGTAAAAAACAAAGCTCAACCAAGCATTTTTATCGACCCCAACCGCAAGAGTAAACTAAGCTTTGGTGTATAGTAGGATTGTCCCTTTATACTCACTGTGTAGTAGGATCATCCACTCAGCCCTAGGAAAGAGATTGTAGTGCATTGAAAACTTGCAGTGTAATTTTTCTAGTTAGCCATGGTATCACCCTAAATCCAAACTTCTACTCTATAGAATATAAAATGCAAAACATTTTGTTGGATGCCTGCACAGGTTAGGTCTTCAATTATTCTGAGTATGTCCAGCTCCATTTTTCCTGATATGGTTGAGTGGTACAAAACCTTTGTACCTTGTACATATTGCACCACACCCTTCTCCCTATGTAAAGGAAGACCTCCTGAACCCTCAGACACCATTATTTAGTTTATAAAAAGTTTCAGTAGAGTATATTTTGTAAAGTTTTGTATATTTTAAAGAATTATCCAACTGAAAGCTCACCGCAGGACGTGGTTTCATCAGATCTATCTCCACAGTCATCCTCCTGATCACACTGCCATGATTTGGAAATACAGCGGCCGTTGGCGCAGGAAAATTGGTGAGGCTGACAGGTCCTGGCTGAAAGGCATAGACAGAATGGAATTATGGTTATGTGAAGACCACTTTAATAAACATTGAGGAAATTAATGACAAAAAAACAAGCAATTCTGATGAAAATGAGGTTAGCATTTTATTTGACCCCTCGCCGCCGGCACCTCCCAGCCCTTTATGGTGTTTGAGATGCTGGGAGGCCGGGTTTATGGTCATGTGACCGCCATGATTGGCATTCACAGCTGTCACCTGATCGGAAAGCTCCCGATTGGAAGTAGCGATCGGGGCCGTTCCATGAGTTGCCAGTAAATGTCCCCTTAGCAAGCAGGCCCCTGTTAGTTTACATTGAGTTTTTCATATATGTGGCCTCTCTGCGTCAAGGCCCAGCCGCCAAGAGGCGTACTGTCAGTGGCAAGGAGCTAACAAAGGGTTTGACAATCCTTGGCAAAATATGCTAACCGTAACTACTATAAATGATATTTAATTTTCCAAAGCACAGTAAATACTTACTAAAGGCAAATAGGCTGTTAATGCACTTTTCCCCCGGAGCTTAGTGAATGAGGTGAAATTTCCCAATAACCAATCATATACAATAGAAAAAAAAAAAAAACAACATTTTCGAAAGTCAGCATCGTGCCACCTAAACTCTTGGGAAAATTCCCTTGCAAAGTGCAATTTCCTTTGAAAAGTGATCAGTCTATTTCTCTGTTCTGTTTCTCTCTATAAATTAATAAATAGAATTTATTAAGAAGGAACAAAAATCAACGTTGCACCATAAAAATCGCATTTATTAAAAATAATACTAATATTGTTTTAATGTTTTTTTTTCATATGAACACTCCTGCAGCAGCCACTTTGCAGTTAGTTCCTGCCTACATGCACACCAACAACTTCTGTGTGTAATTTTTGAAGACAAATTTTTCTAATGGAGACAAGCGTGGACCATGCCGGAACAACTCTTGCATCAGTGGGGCTGCATTAGGATGGACAGAGACTTTTTTCTTTTTTTCCCTTTTAGCCAGATTCCTGCATTCACATAAGCAAAGAAATCTCCTCTGAGACATTGGGGGAGATTTACTAAAGCTGCAGCACTCAGAATCTGATGCAGCTGTGCATAGTATCCAATCAGCTTCTAAATTCAGCTTGTTTAATTAAGAATTGACAATAAAACTATTGTCATTTAACATTCCAACCTTCTGGCTTTAAGAAATACTTAAAAAAAAATAAAAAAGAAAGGAAACTGTAGTCAGTTGTAACTGTTTTTGCAGATCAAGCAGAGGAAAAAAATATGGAATCACTCAATACAGAGGAAAATATTATGGAATCATGAAAACAAAAAATCACTCCAGTACACCACTAGTAGTTTGTTGCGCAAACTCTGGCTTTTAGAACAGCTTGAATCCTCTGAGGCATGGATTTAACTATTGACAAACAGTATTCTTCATCAATCCGGCTCCAACTTTCTCTTATTGCAATTTCCAGATCAGCTTTGCAGGTTGGAGACTTGTCATGGACCATTTCTTTCATTTCCACCATAGATTTTCAGTTGGGTTGAGGTCCGCACTATTTGCAGGTCATGCCATTAACATTATTTGTCTTTCTTGAAGGAAAGTTTTCACGGCTTTTGCCCTATGGCAAGATGCATTCTCATCCTGAAAAATGACATCATCATCATCAAACATCCTTTCCACTGATGGAATAAGAAAAGTGCCCAAAATCTCAGTATCAACTTGTGCATTTATTGAAGATTTAACCACTTCAAGTCCGCACACTTTCACCCACTTCCTCTCCAGGCCAATTTTCAGCTTTCAGCACTATCACACTTTACATGACAATTGCGCGGTCATGCAACATTGTACCCATATAAATTTTTTAAGAGACAGATAAAGCTTTATTTTGGTGGTATTTATTCACCACTGGGATTTTTTTTTTTTGCTATATAAATAAAAAAGTCCCAAAATTTTGAAAAAAAGTGTTTTTCTTATAAAATTTTCCAAATAAATAATATTTCATCATAAATCTTGGCCAATATTTATTCAGTCATCTTTTTAGTAAAAAAAAAAATAACCCAAATTAGTTTATAACCAAACGTTATAATTTAAAAATTTTTTTTTTACATTTTTACTTTATTTTTTTATTATTTATGTTTTTTTTTTTTTTACATACTGTCACCCTAGCAGTACACCATGGTGACACTGTACTACTTGTGGGGGGTGTCGATTTTTTTTTTTTTTTACACTTATTGCTTTTACACCCATAAAGGCTGTAAAATCATTTTTCCTTCTCTCTGACTGCATTCTTGCAGCCATTGAGAAATACTGTGTGAGCTGTGATTGGTCACAGCTTGTCACATGGTACAAGACTGTTGCGAATAGCCTTGTACCATGTGACCTCTATGATCATTCACAGATTTCATACGTAGTAAGCAATGATGTCAGAAGTGACATCTTGCTTACTACTCTTCATGTGATCACTGATTGGCCAATCAGTGATCACATGATCGGGACCTCGTACAGAGGTCCCATACAGCGATCGGTGTTCCACTGTGTCTGGAGGACACTGCGGGCACCGGATCGCAGTTCTGCACGCTTCCAGGGAGTGCGCACGGTCCAAAATGGCGGGTACTGTTTATGAGCGGCAACCTGCCCTGGACTGCCACAGTTCGGCCGTTTTTATGCAGCAGCCCGACGGCAAGTGGTTAATTACTGTCATCTCCCCGGCGCCTTTACCTGACATGCAACCCCATATCATCAATGATTGTGGAAATTTGCATGTTTTCTTCAGGCAGTCGTCTTTATACATTTCATTGGAACATCACCAAACAAAAGTTCCAGCATCATCACCCTGCCCAATGCAGATTTGTGATTCATCACTGAATATTACTTTCATCCCGTCATCCACAGTCCATGATTGCTTTTCTTTAGCCCGCTGTAATCTTGTTTTTTTCTGTTCAGGTGGTAATGATGGCTTTCGGTCACAGACATTGATTCCGGTTTCTGCCCATTTGTTCCTCATTTGTTTTGTTGTACATTTTCTACATTCAAGGCATATTGCTTTTAGTTTTCTATGTTGGCGCTTTGATGTCTTCCTTGGTCTACCAGTACGCTTCCCTTTTACAACCTTCCCATTTGAATTGTACTTGGTCCAGATTTTAGACACAGCTGACTGGGAACACCTCACATCTTTTGCAACATTCCGTGATGATTTACCTTCTTGCAGAAGTTTTTTAATCCTCTCCTTTGTTTCCACTGACATCTCTGGTGTTGGAGCCATGATTCACATCAATCAGCTTGATGCAACAGCTCACCAAGGTGTGCAAGCACTCTTTTACTGCAGACTAATTATTAGCAGATGTTTGCTTTAGAACTGCAAAGTACTTGGTGATTCCATAATATTTTCCTCACAATTGAGTAATACCATCCTTTTTTTCTTCTGCTTGCAAAAACAGTTGCAATTGACAACAGATTTCTTTTTTTTTAATTTTTTTAAGTGTTTCTTAAAGCCAGAAGGTTGGAATGTTAAATGAAAATAGGTTTGAGGTATATCGGTGATAGATTTTTTTTTCTACACAATTAACCGCATGCCGCCCAGCCACTGTACATATACGGCGGCAGGGCGGCACTCACAGGCAAAACCACGTTTTAAAACGTGTGTTTTTGTAAACAAATAGGGGGCGCGCGCGAGGCGCGCTGCCGCCCTATTTGTCCTGTGGATCACCGCCGCAGATGTCAGTTGCCGGGTCACAGCCGCTCATTAGCGGCTATGTCCCGGCGATCGGCGGTAAACGGTGACAGAGAGCACAGCTGCAGTAGCTGTGCTGTCTGTAACCTCTCTGTCAGCTCGAGGATGAGCTGATCGAGAAAGAATAGTTTCACTTTCTCGATCAGCCTTGTCCCGCCCAGTACACACCCCCGTCCCCTAGTAAAACACTCCCCTCACTCCTATAACCCTTCCCTGCTAAATAAAGTTACCCTTCCTCCCCATTGCCATTAGTACAGTGTCAGTTTTTTTTTTTTTGCACTGATCACTGTATTAGTGTTTTTGGGGATGTCAGTGACCCCAAGTCAGTACCCCCCAATGTCAGAATGTCCGCCGCAGTCCCGCCATAAGTCGCTGGTTGCTGCCATAAGTCCCTGATCGCCGCCATAATTCGCTGATCGCCGCCATTATTAGTATAAAAAAAAACCTAAAAATCCCAGTATCTTTCCCGCCATTTGTAAACGCTATAACTTTCACATAAACCAATTAATTTACACTTATTGGGGTTTTTTTTTAGCAAAGACATGTCGCAGAATGCATTTTGGCAGAAATTTATGACTAAATTTGATTTTTGCATTTTTTTACTGGACATGTTTTATAGCAAAAAGTCCAAAATATTGTTTTTTTTCCTCAAAATTGTCACTTTTTTTTATAGCGCAAAAAATAAAAACTGCACAGGCGATCAAATACCACCGAAAGAAAGCTCAATTTGTGGGGAAAAAAGGATGTAAATTTCATTTATGTACCATATTGCATGACCGCGCAATTGTCCGTTACACTAGCGCAGCGCTGTATAGCAGAAAAATGGTGTAAATTGCAGTATCTATACCATAGTTTGTAGACGCTATAACTTCCACACAAAGCAATCAATATACACTTATTGGGATTTTTTTACCAAAAACATAGAGCAGAATACATTTTGGCCTAAATTTATAACCAACTTTGAGTTTACTATATATTTTTTATAGCTGAAAATAAAAAATATTGTTTTTCTTCAAAATGTTTGGCGTTTTTTTTGTTTATAGCGTGAAAAATAAAAAGCGCACAGGTGATCAAATTACACAGAAAGAAAGCTCTATTTGTGTGAAAAAAGGACGTAAATTTCGTTTGGGTGCAGCATTGCATGACCGCGCAATTATCAGTTGAATTAGTGCAGCGCCAAGTAGCAAAAAGAGGCCTGGTCATTAAGGGGGGTAAATCCTCAGGAGCTCAAGTGGTTAAACAATTGAATGAACATTTTCCAAGAGTAGTAATTCCATACTTTTTGCCAGAGGTTGTATAAAGACAATACAGCAACAATACATATTCGAAACAAAAGGATTAGGAGGGCCCTGATCCTAGGAGCTTACAATCTAATAGATTAAAATGGAACTTCATTCTCTCAATCAGCATTAACTATTTTGAATCCTTATGCTGCTAGCATTAGTAAAAATATATGAAAGTATATCATATTTACTTGTTTTAAAGTGTTACTAAACCCTTTCTTTTTAAATCACACTAAAAACTTGTTTGCCAATGCACAGGGGTACCATTAAAGTGTTTCTAACCCTACAACAGTAAAATCAATCTGTATATGCAGTAAAAGCATGCTTATTATACTCACTGTGGATCCTAAAAGGTTAACCCTCTGCATTGAGTAAAAGAGCAGTTTGATCCTGTCTTCTCTGATCCTCCCCTTCTTCTACTGTCCCCAATATAACTCCTAATAGAACAGAGGCTTGAAGGCAAGCTGCACATGCTCAGGTTGGTATGTACTGCTAGAGAGTTTTTTTTTCTTTGGGAAAGTGCATGTGATCAGTCCAGGGCCAATCAGCACTGTCCAGACAGAGGGTCAGGGGTTATGCAGCCTCATAAGACAGTCAGAGGAGAATGAAAACTCCTCCTACAAGTTTTAACCAGTGCTCAACAGGACAATGATAGAAGTCACAAGACTGCTATATACTGCTAATGAGAAAAGATATTTAGCAGTTATATTTACATTAGTTGAATTTCCATGTTCTGTGTACTGTGGGAGACCAGATATAGGGAATGCAGGGTCCTGGGTATCGTAACACTTTAAACATTTTTAAAATTTCTCCAGTTACTTTCTGCTTTCAAGGCTTAGGCAAATTATATCATACATCCCAGAAGTCTTCAGTAGGGGAGGAGGGGTTTCTCAGCCAAGCACACCCTCCTGCCTGCATGCCTGAGTTAAGATGGACTCCAAGAAGTAAACACTACATGAACCATCTGCCCTTACTCAAGATGGCCACAGATAGAAATGCTAGGGAGGCTTTTTGTCAAAGTGACTTCTCAACAAAATAAAGCACAGAGACATGGATGGATGGGGGCGTTTGCTTTGAATATTAAAAATGAATTAAATAGTGTTTTCAGTTTGTGGTGCTCAGATACAGTTTAGTTTCACTTTAGGATAATAAGTAGAAATAAGCACTTTCCCTTTAAACAAATAATTCAATAAAGCCGTGTGAGAGAGATGCCAATTAAGTATTTATATAACATATGCCATTTTCTATCGCTTTATTTCTTCAAACTGTAGCTCTTATTTGCAGCACTTTGTGCAAGCTGTTGTACGCTTTCTTTGTGAATTATGCCATTTTTTCCTGTCAGTTTCTCTGCAAACTCCAGCAGTTATTAAATTACTCTTAGCATTACTGTTATAAGTATTTTGTGATGTGTTGTGACACACAATTCATCAAGAATTCTAATTGCTTTGGTCTCTTCATATATTTTAATATTCTTACAGCAATTTACTTACAAACCGAAAAACGCCACAAATTAGCCTGTGTGGGCATTGGCCAAAAAATAAATAAATTATATATATATACATATCTCCTCAATAATAAGGCTGTTTTCACACAAATCCATTTTTCTTCCTCTTTTGCGTTACAAAAAGAGGAAGGAAACCACGTGATCCTGTATTCCTATGGAAATCCTGCTTGCTGCATTTTTGGTGCAGGTTTGGTGCGGTAAAAAAAACACACCAAAAATGCACATCAATTGAAAAGATGGCAAAAACACACCTATGTCTTTGTTGCGTTTTTTGAGTCACGTCTTGTAAAAAAACGCACCTCAAATGCTGTAAAAACGTGTTAAAAATGAATCAGTGTTGGGCTCGGTTCACATGTGGTGAACGGGTGGTGCTGCTGCGGGACTTGCACAAATAAGCAGTCGCAAACACCCACACAGAGAAATGTGGAACCTGCGGGCGGATGCTGTTTTTTTTAATAACACGCCACCAGCACTGGAAATCACAACCGTACTGGGAACCTCGGTTTCTGATTTAAAAAATAGTGGAGGGACTTCTTTCCTGCATGTCTTGTGCAAGGCAGCCCATTCAAACAAATGAGCACTCGTGCCCACGCAAATGTAGGCCTGCATGATCGCAGAGGTGTGAACCTAGGTTAAAAGTAGCTTTAGTCTAAGCCCTGGTTCTCACCACTGTAATTTCATGTGCAACATATGATTTCCAAATCGCACTTGAAGTTGCATCCAGGTGTGAACCTAGCCTAAAAGTATCCTAAAGGTGGGAATACACGATTAGAAAATCGACCGATCGGTCATCTGACGACAGAGAGGCGTTCGTTTGTTGGTCGAAATCGTGGCCTACATTAACCAATCTAAAAAAATAGTTTGTTGGGCAATACGTAGTGTTGACGTCTTCCATACAAGTGGAAGTGATGAGGTGTGCGTGTAGCCTTGTAGTCATGCCCTTCCGGCCAGAATGAGCGATATACACAACAATTACCAGCAATGAGTATAATGTACTTTATTACATGACCTATATATTGTACATAAATAGAGATACATAAAATATAATAGGCAGAATTCTGGTTTCATTATCTCATTAGGCCAATGCACTTTTAACATTCAGATT